GATGCCATTTAACAATATTTAGGTAGCCACTTAGGCTGTTTGGGCTTCTCAGCTTTTGAGTTCTTTAGTCCGCCAAGGCCATGGACTTGCCACTTGCAAATCATCATGGGTTAATTTTCAACACTTTGAAGTTTATGTTCAAAGCTTATTATTATCTGAACCTAAATTGTAAAGTTATCATTTTTAATCAATTTTAGTGAGATATTCCTTCTTGAAAGTGGAATGATTTCTTGCACCTACAGTAGTTATGGCTGCCAGTGGATTTGTCTCAAACTCACCCATTCTGCCTTCATCTACCTTTGGCTTTTAGCTACAACCCCAAACTTTATTCTTTCCTTCATATTTCTACAAACCCTCAATATAAATTGCAACACTTTTCAATTCCTCTTCTTTTGATTATGACTACCCCCATGAAAATTAGGAAGTCTCCGTAATATTACTTTTCATTTTCCTTTGGAAAAAGGAAAAAAATCCCTTTCGCAGAAGCCGAGTTTGATATGAAGATATGAATTAGAAGATTGGGTCTTGTAGGAGAGATATAGGAAAGAAGAATGAGGGACGGTGATTGTTAAAGAGAGAAAAGTAGGAAAGGTAAAATAAAACTGGTGGTGTTGGATTAAAGTTTAGGATTGCCTTCTAATTATCAGGGCAGCAAGATCATGACGGGTTTTGGGAAGAAAGTGACACTAGTAGAAAACAATTTTTCAATTGATAGAAAATTGTATTAGTTATTCAAGAAATTCTGTCGATTATAAAGATAATCAATAGAAAAAATTATCAAACAAATGTACGTCAAAAATAAGTATAATCGACAGTCATATATAATTGATAGCCATGTATAATCGACAGATATGGCTATCAACTATGTTGGTATTTGATTTAAAAAAAATTAAAAAATAATTTTGCATTTATTAATTAAATTATAAATATTAACCAAAATATATGTAAACCAATCATATGTTACAATAATATATATGTATGTATATAGATAAATCTACAAAAACTAATTGAAAAACTAGAATGTATTGCAAATATTATGAAAGTAAAAAAAAAAAAGGGGAAATTGAAAGCATAAATCAAAAGTAGTATTAGAAATTACCTCATAATCTAATTCCAACCTTAATAACTTGAAAAAGAGAAAAAAAATATAATTAGATTATATTAAAATAATTGAATAATATAGAAACTAAAATAAATATAAAAAAAAAAACGCCCAAGACTTGGAAAGTAGAAGGAATTGAAGGGAAAAGGTGAAGTACCGTAAAAACAATAAAAGAAGAAGAAGAGATGTAGCTAGAAAGGGAAAAGATCAAGAATTAAAATGGTAGAGTTTAGGGAAAAAGGAGGATGAAGAAAGTTAAAAAGGAAAAAGACAATGAAAGATTAAGAAAGGTAGAAGAAAAGAGAGAACATGAAGCAAGGTAAAAGAGAAAAATGGCGCACGCACATCTGTACAAAAGGGAAGGAGGATGGAAAATTTTAAAGAAGATGAGATGAGAGAACGTTTGAAAGTTTTGTTTTTGGTTCCATATATATAAAAAATGTATAATCGACAATATTTTTGTTAATTATACTTCGTTGATTATATTTTGAATTTGTTACATCGCAAAATTCAATTTTTTTTTGCCAGGTTAGGCGGGATAAAGGAATAATAGATAGATAGTCAACAGTGATTGCACTACTAAAATCTCAATCTTCAGCAACATGCTTCCATGTTGCTGAAAGTGCTTTTCATGTTGCTGAAAGTGCTTTTCATGTTGCTGAAGGACTCAACAACATAGGTTTGGTTGCTAAAAGTTTTGTTGGAGAAGG